CTGTACCCAATATCAAATCCTAACAACAGAAACATAAGAAAAAAATCACTCATCAACACACAACTTTGCCGCACCGAAAGTTACCAGATTTCACCAATCCCATATTACCAGGTTGCTCAATACCTGATCCTCTCCGGTTCGTCGTCTGTCCTACTTTTTGGACCAATGCCCCATCGGCTTACAGGGCCCGATTGCCAAATTGTTGGGGGTTTTTTTACAGAATAAGCATTTAAAAAAAAAATTCTTTTACTTAAATTGTGATGTAATTTGTAAATATTCATTTTTTTAAATTTTTAAATACATATATTAATATTTTTTAGCAATTTCATACTTTTTTTAGATTTACATTTTTGTAAATGCAATAATTTTATCCTTTCGCTACTTATTTTGTATTCTTTTGTACATGAATAAAATAAAAAAAAAAACAAAAAAAAACAAACAAACAATTTTGAGGGTTTGTCCTGTCCCTAAAATGATGAAAGACAATAGTAGCATTAGCTGTTATACATTTGATCAATAATATTTTCGAAATCAAGTATCAGATGTAATGTATTTTTGCATTTCGTTGTCTTGCGAACAAATAATTATTCTAACGGGACATTTTTTGTGCCAAAGTCATTTTTAACATATTAAAAAAATATTTAAAGTTAATTTAGGGAAGATACGTTTGTAAATAAAGTCAATATTTTGTATCAAGTGTCCATCTATTCCGAACGTATGCTTGAACATATTGTATTGTTTTAATTTGGAATATGAATTATTTTTTTCAAACAATTTTGTGCGTTCTTTATCTGTCAATCAATCAATTAATCTTTATTCCAAAATACCCAATCTATTTTTTGCAAAGATACGTTTGTAAATAAAGTCAATATTTTGTATCAAGTGTCCATCTATTCCGAACGTATGCTTGAACATATTGTATTGTTTTAATTTGGAATATGAATTATTTTTTTCAAACAATTTTTGTGCGTTCTTTATCTGTCAATCAATCAATCAATCTTTATTTTCCATCGATGAAACAGCAAATAAAGATGGAGGAAATACAACAAAGGCAAGGCCTGACAATGTGTTGTATCACCTTTAACAAAAAGACAATCAGAGGCAATATAGAATATTAAAAAACATTAAAAATAAACAAAAATCAAAACAAATTGCATTACGGCAGATACACATAGACCCACCCACCAATATGAAATACATGTTGCCAAAATAAACAAGTAATCGTTATTTAAGTCACAGTAATGCCATGAAGTTAACTTGCATTAAGAGATTGGATGCGCTTAGAAATCTGTGTAATCTAAAGCTCTGTGGACAAAATCAAATGTTTATTGAAAGAAAAACTGTTGTATGCCCATATTTAGTCATAACGTGCCTATATATGGTCATGCTGTGATGTCATTATGACCATACTTAGGCAAATCACATGTTTTTGTTAAATTAAGTTGTATAGCCTGGTCAGGGCTTAAGTTCATTTTCATTAAGTTTACTAAGTCACAGTGTGTTCAGGGATAGGCCTATTACACATTTTTCACTGTCATATCAATTTCTATGAAACAGTGATTTGTTATTTGTATGCTTAATTCTTAAAGTAGACTTCATAACTGAACGAAAGGAAGGAATGGTAAACCCACAATCACAAATTGGTTACGATGAAGCACGGCATTATTTTGATCAGATAGGATAAAACGATTAGCTTCAACGCAACGCTTTCATTGGATAAATTAAACGCTTAGCCACAACGAACTTTGTTGGTTGGTTGCGTTAAAGCGCTTAGTCGCGATGTAGGCGTCGTGGTTGGTTGTGATAGAAGCCCAATGTACGCAAAGTATTTTAAATGGCAGTCTAATAAGCCAATTCGTAGTTAAAACTTCGCATACTCGAATCTAGTAGCCATCCTTATAAGGACAAGAGAACTTGCTTAAAGTATAGATAATGCAAAAAAAAAAAAAAAGGCGAAAGAGGTGCAGCGTACATATAGTAACATAAATTATAATGATAATAATATTAATAATAATAGTAATAATAATAATGATAATAATAATAATAATAATAATAAAAATAATAATAATAATAATAATAATAATGTTGATTTTTCAAAATTTTTATTTTTTTGTTAAGCAACCATACGTACATCATACAAATTACTTAACTTACTCTAATGGTACCCCACACCAGAAATTGTTTTTTAACGATAATTTATTTATGTATTATATATCAATGCTGTGGCGGATCTAGGGGTGTGAATAGGGTGGCTAGCCACGTACCTCCCTTCGGTGACCTCGAAAAAAAAATCTAGTCACTCGTCTTGTGTGTGCTTCTCATGTATACATGTTACATGTAGTAGTACTCTGGTAAACATACACTTTCTATTTTAAGCTTAACTTTTTTCAGATGTCATCCAAGAACGTCTAGCCGTCAACTAATTCCAAAAAGTCTCAAATGGAAGGGGATGCCTCTCCCTAAACATATGATCAAGGAGGGACACGTCCCAAAATATTGTTAAAGGGGTGAGGGTTGGTCCCTCATTCGTCCAAAATGTAACAATATCATAAGTCAAGAAGATGCCTGAAAATTGTTAAAATGAGCTGCATAGGCCTAATGACCCAGGTTTTAACGAATCTATCTCTGCCCACAAACATCCGAAAAACTTATAATACACGACCCTTGTGCGCGTGCCTTTATAATAACTTGAGAAGTATGAAAAAAAAGCGTGTAATAATAATAATAATAATAATATTGGTTTTCGGCACAAGGTAAAGTAAATTAAAAATGCATCAATGACAATTGAGTTTTATTTTCAATAGAACATGACAGCAATTAATTTGATCGATGATGATGAAGTTTATTATAATAACAGAGTGTCATTTCCGGTAATCAAGAGGTACTATTTCCCCAAATGTTCCCACCTCAGCCCTTATGTGGACTAATGACTTTGAAGTAGGTAGGCCTAAATTAAGTACATCAAAGGCAATGTTTTTAATATTTATTTTCTATTGTACATCACACATTAGTTAGACATCTATGGTTTCCGAAAATCATGAGAAATTTGTTGCCGCTTCATTTTTACTACGGTATATAATGGTGATGTGTGTCTCTTATACACATCT